TGAATTCAGAATAGGCGGAAAACATGTTACGCAGATACTTGCTTGCTGGTTGTTTTCATCCTTCACCACAAACCGCAGGAACCCATTTGACTTTAGCGGTTTGGGCATCAGCCTCGCTGCGTACCCGTGCGTGCCTCAGCGCGGTGGCCCTTTGTCGAGCACTTCCGTAGTAACAGCTGATTATAAGGGAAGTGCGGTGGCAGCAATGAAGGGGAGGGGGGCAGGGGGGGCTAGTTGTTTTCTTTGGCAATTGACATTTAATTTTGCCGTTGTTCTGAGCAGTTCCTTGTGAATCAATTGAGCTCCTTGCCGACCTTGTCCTTCCGTGTCTCGGGGCATGTGGTCCGGAATCCCTAAAGGCTCTCGCTGTGCCGCTTCGCTTGTGGGTCGTGCGTGGCGCAGCCGCGCTTGTCCGCGGGCACTAGTAGCAGCAGGCGCCGCTTCGTCTGTGCAGCGCAGCTAAATATCGTTTCAAAAGGGACGAAGCCGACGTCACGAGCAGCGCACCTAATCCGGCGCCGAGACCATATCACGTGACCTGCCGGTTCCGCGCAGCGGCGCACGGAGCACATTCACGTGACACGACCGCAGCGCGGCATCGGCTGGGTTGGCGCTCTATCAATGTGCTTTGCGTTTCGCGCAGTCGAAATACCCTGCTTCCCCGGCGGAGTCGGGTCCTGGTTTCACGTAGCTGACACAAAAAGGCGCCACAGTCCTATTCCGCAAGAACTGCGAACTCGTGAAGGCTACCAGCCGTGAAGTCGAATTTAGTCAGAATGAACCTGAATGACTTCGTGAATTATGCGGAGTTCATGATGTGATGGTGGATTCGTGTTGACCGTGATGGTGAATAACTTCGTGACGTGATGGTGAATTCAGATGAATTCATGATGTGATTGTGAGTTCGGATGAATTCGTGAAGTGATGGTGAATTCGGATGAATTCATGATGTGATGGTGAATTCCGATGATTTCACGATGGTGAATTCCGATGAATTCGTTGTGATGGTGAATGACTCCGTGAATTCGGAGGCGGCGTTGATGTGATGGGGATGAATTCTTGGCGCGGTTGAACGCCGTGATGTGAAGGGGATGAATTCTCGGCGGAGTTCGAAAACCGTGATGTGAAGGGGATGAAGTTTTGGCGCAGTTGAACGCCGGGATGTGAAGGGCCGTGACTTTGGGAGGTCGGAGTACCTTGTGACGTGAATGCGAATGAATTTGGAGACGTGATTTTGTTTGTGATGTGATGGTGAATGAAGGGGCTCTAAAATGCCGACCTATGGATGTAATACGCCAAAACAACAGAGACGAAAAAGAAGGGAGAACTGGACAGGACGTGGCGTATTACACCATGGTTTCTACGTATAGCTCTGCCCGCTTGGTCTGGAGGTCGATGTCACGAAAACTTGATCACGGGTGACGTCAGAGCTGTGCAGTGTGCAACCGCGTCCTTTCTTATCTGCTGGCTTGCTTGCTTCAAAGCGACGTGCTCCTGTCTGATCGTAACGGCTGTAGATGCCGCTTCGGCAGCCCTGATTCCACAATCTTCGTTCATCACTCTGGACAGCTGCTGAGCTCACGTGCTCTGCGGCACGAGCAGTTCACGCAACTCGCTCGCGCGACTCGGCGAAGTGTTAAAAACAGTTGTGTGCAATTCCGCAACTCCGACTCGGAGTTTGCGACGGGGAGGGCTGCACATTTGCCTCTACCGGACTCTGAGCCACGGGCATTTGCTTCTTGCGCATCCAACATTGTCATGTGGCAGGAACCCTAAACGTTTCTTCAACTGCTGCCATAGTTCTACATAAATTTGTGCAGCTGAGTAAACCTACGCATAGACCAATTTTCTTGAAAGCGTGGACCAACCACTGGTCTCTATTGTAGTAGGCTGGATTCAAATCGGGAGTCTGTCGGTGGCGCCACCGGCAGCCATTGCTTGGCACCAAGCGATACGTGCCTTGCACGGGACGTCATATGGCTCCATACCATTCCTGTGCCCGTATCCTCTGGAACATACATTTTGGCAGCATCGAATCTGTTCTTCTCCGCAAGGTTCTCCGAGAGGAAGAAATTCATTGGTGCTAAATGTGAGCTCCGGAAGGTACGGGCACTGGAGCATGGTCCGCAGCAATGGTGGCTGATGTGACGTCAATGCAAGTCGTGTATACACGCAAGTCTATGGGAGAAACACACAAAAGAAGGAAATTAAAGCTTCTACACAGTGTTCGAAGGCATGTATTTTACGATGTGCTGCAATAATTTTATTGTGTGTTTGGAGATTGAATTGGGATTTGTCAAGCATTCTAATGCCCATTAAAATATTGTGCTATAGCACCCATGACTGATCTGGCAAGCTTGCTCTTGTGGTGGAGTGAACAAATAAACTTGCTGTCAATAATGCCGTCGTGGGGGAGCCCAGAAGTTGCTGAATGTCAACAAAGTTCCATATTGGCAGCGTCTTTCCGGGAGTGAGCGAAATCATAGCAGAGCCTTCAAGCTTGTCACCTGCTAAACCCGACTCATTGAAACCGCCACCGACTCCGAGGTACCTCTAGGGAACTCTCGTCTCAGTGAGCTGCTCTACATTTTTTGCTCAGTAGAGTCACTCTCGACAACAAAACATTTCTATATAACAACCGCGAGGGTTGTCAGTTTTAATGTTTGTGCACTAGCTATTTGACAGGCTTCCCGACAGCAGCCAAAAGATTCAGTGACGACAACAGTTTACGAGCGGGGGAACGTCACTTTTCTTCGTCTTTCCCATAGAGTCCCATGCATTAGCCAATGCCAAGTGATGGGCGCCGGTGGCGCCACTCCTCCCTATTAAGACGAGCCTCGATCCATGATCCAGCTTACTACAACAGAGATCAGTGGCACCAACTAGCCCAGGTACCGATGTCGCTGGCTTTCTGGCGCGTTATAATAAATAACATGCTAAAAAGAGCAGGGCCATGGCATGACGTGATGAGGCTAGCCTCTGCGATGCAGCTTCTTCGGTAGCTGCATCCCCTCTGACCTCATCGCCCGTCTGTCTAAGCTGGAAGAAGCGGTGGAAAATCTCCTTCGTGGGATTGCCAATGGGAGCAGCTTAATCTCCATCTTTGGCAAACTCCACCGGCGAGCCAACTCCATCGTGACGTCGGTCAACACACAGGACTGAGTTGAAACTCCATCGGGATTTTTCCCTCAAAGTGTCCCCACTAAGAATCTCAAAACACCGCGGTGAGTATAACAGTAAAAATATTATTTTTAAGTTGGCAAAATGAATAGCATGAGACAAAATTAGAAAAGTATATTCCTGATATCTGATTGCATGAATTAGTACTTAATGTACTGAAATAATGAATACAATCAACGTTAACTACAGCCCTTTACGTTGCAAAGACAGTTGTGGCCGACAATGCTGAGAAGCGCAAGCTAGGTCGCTACGTCTCGGCACGACAGTTTGCGCTTCTCCTGGATTTCTCGGTGAAAGTCAGGTACTCCCGGGACTGCTACAGAGAGCTTTGTTACCAAGGAGGAGCGAAATACACTATGGGGCGTAATAGTTTGAGAGTTAAACGCCCTAGGTTCGGCCATAAAGAATGACTTTCTGGAACTTGCGTGCATACCAGACGTGGGCTTGCGACCTGAGAGTCTCGTGTCTTGTACAGAAGACCGGTGCATACCTGCCAACTCTTCCGAATTTTTGTAAAATGTATGAATTGGGACTAATTTTATGATTTTACGAATCTTGCTTCAAATTTCATGAAAAAAATATACTTTTTTTATTTCTATTTTTTTTTACATTTTTTCGTAAAACCGTTGCTGGCGGTACCTCGCACCGCCACAAGAGGGCGATAGGTGCCGTTAATCGCGTTTGCTCCGGGATGAAGGCAAGACTTCCAACTTGGGGCCCAGACCAAGAAATGCCCCGTTTATTGCCACACCCACATATATACACACATATCAGGTCACATGACAACAACCGTGCGCAGCACTCTTACGACGAGTCATCTCGAAGCAGACAGTAGAGCGCGATAACTGATAGTCACGCGCGTCTTAGGTTCTACCGCAGGAGCGATAACACTACACCGTCCACGGCAGCATTGTGGTTTTTACTATCCCTCTATCCAATGGCCACAATTCCAAAACCAATCCAAAGCCCAAAGCCTTTGGTGGCGCACGTTGGTTCGGCATGTTCAAACGTGGTTGGGCCACTCTGTTTTGGCCAGTTTCAAGGCGAGAAGTGCAGCGTCTGTGTTTGTTACACGTGTAATCGTAGCATTCCCCTGGTCGCGGTGGCTTCGCGGCGCAATGCCAAACTCCAAACCTTAAAAGAGGTACTTTCAGGTGTTCTTGAAGTCCTACACGTTGGAATTCCAGTGCTTTGTGCCGTCCAAAAAGGAGAGAAGTTTGGATTCTGTAGCACGTGCACGTGTAATGTAAGTGTTTTGCACGGTGACAAGGCTGACATTAAGCCTTGCCACCATGCGAACCCCCCCCCCCCCCCCCCCCCCGCTCCCCCGCAGTTGCGGGAGTTTTACGAATTTGAAAGTCCACAGGTTGGTAGGTATGCCGGTGGGGGCGCGAGTGATAGGCCGCCCCTAAACGTGGAGCAAGAAAAAATATTATTTTTCGTGGGGACGGATTTTTCTTGAGGGGGGCGGGCGTGCGCCCCCGACAGTGGACGCGTCGCTGCGGGACTTCGCGGCTGCAGCAGCAGCTTCGATAAGTACCGTGAATCTCTTGGATCGTGAGCAGACACCATGCTGCGTTTTACCTTATTGAACACTAATGTACAAAACGATGTGGTGCGAATGTATCCCTCGTGGTGTTTTCCACGAAAGCTTAAATATCGGGGCTGCAGCACATTTATAGACCCACTCATGAAACAATATATGCGTGACATTCGAAAAAAAAAATATTGAGTTTAGGGTGCACGCTATTAGACACAGGTATAACTAGAAGGGCTGTATAGCGTTGTGCCGTGTTACATAGTTGAATTATATTATGCAGGGGTCTGTGGCTGAAGGCGACATGGCAAAGGGAGGAGAGGAGGAACCTCCTGTACAAGTAGCATGCCCCCTACCACCAAATGGTACGAACGAAAAGGATGGGAAAGCTGCGATTATTTATTGCATTGTGCACGCTATTACAAATATGTTTCATGTCGTTAGCAGTGCAGCATCCACCAGGTGCCATGCCAGTCCGGAGAACTAGGGCCAGGTCTGGAGCCGATACGGCACGGGATCTGCTGTCCATTCGGCAGGACCAGCTGGCTGTCCAGCGAGAACTGCTGGCCACACAGCAGGGTTTGCTGGCCACCCAGCAGCAGCAGCTGGCAGTTCAGCAGGAAATGCTGCTCGTGCAGAGAGAGGCAGTCGATGCACTCCGTCGACTTGCAAGCGTAGGTGTTAAGAGAACTGTAGTGTAGTGCACTCCCAATTACTGCTGTTAGGCTGACTTTGGTCAACCCTACTTTAGCCAGTTAAGTTAGAAGGCGGTGTTCTTAGACTCAAACTGAAAACAGAAATGATTTGTATGTGTATTTGAAGTGTCCAACAGCGAAGGCTTTATTTTGTTTATTTCAATGAAACCTTCCATTGCCATAATGCTAATGAAAATTGGCAAGCCTTGAGGCAAAAGTTTTTCAACTTATTGAAAATTACATACTGTGCTCAACAATCCGAGCTACTACGTCTAAACCGTGGTTCAATAATCCACTTCATCGTTTATCTCATAAATAGAAAAGATGTTTCAGGAGCGCTAAAAAAGGAAATACTTGGCCTAAGCATGCCACTTGCTCTTCCAAATAAAAAACTATGTTAAATGGGTGTTAGCACTTATTCTTTTTGATAACTCTAAGCACACATTCTTTCTGCAAACTCTACCTAATATGTTAATAAACAACCCTCGCAAATTTTGGAGATTTGTACTCTGAAATTAATCTAGTGAATAGCTCTTGTAATAACATATTTAATAGTGAATGTGTGAATATTTAAATAGTGCGTTTTCTGATGCTTTCACTATTTCTACACCCATTACTGGAATTCCTCCTGTTATAGAGAATGATTTTCCAATGGATTCAATTGTTATAAACATTCAGGGTGTTTTCAGCGGTATAGAAACCCTCAAAATATCTCCATCGTGTGGCATAGAGGAAATCATTACGAAGGTTCTCACTAACACTAAATTTTCATCCGGTCTTTACCTCAGAGATATTTGAGCAGTTCGTGGACACAGGGGTGTTACCCTCTGACCGGAAAATTGGTAAGGTCATTCCGATCCACAAATCCGGCAGTCGGACATCTCCAGTAAATTATCGGCCAATATCACTCACCTGCCTCTACAAGATCCTCGAGCATGTCATTTACAGGCACCTGATTAACTTCCTGGATTCCTGCAATTTCTTCACCAATGTGCAGCATGGCCTCTGGAAACGCCTTTCTATTGGGACCCAACTACTTATTCTAACTAACGATTTGTTTAAAAACCTTGACACCAGCTTTCCTACTGACGCTGTTTTGCTAGATTTCGCCAAAGTTTTTGCTAAAGTCCCGGACAATCGCCTTCTTCTTAAACTTTCTTTACTAAAACTAGATCCTCATGTTCCTAAGTGGATTGAGTCATTCCTTATTCATCGCTCTCAATTCGTTTTCACTAACAGCACATCCGGTGTTCCACAGGAAATTGTACTTGGGCCTTTACTCTTTTTAATCTACATTAATGATCTCCCTCTTCACATCTCGTCCTCTGTTCGTCTTTTCACTGATGACTCTGCTGTTTATAGACTAATAGAAACCCCATATGACCATGTTGCACTCCAGAATGGCATTTAAAGGGAGGCACTGCTCTTTGAAGCAGAATTTTACTAAGAAAACACATTTTTAAAAATGTGTTTTTTGAAGTTTGGCAAGCACTTATCATCTTGTCCTGAAGGATTTTCGTTAAATAAGTCTCTCTTATCTTAAGGTATTGTCTTGGAAACAAAGTAAAATGGGTCTGTGGATTTTTTTACATATTATTTCAAAGTGAACTATTTACACCCTTTGCTATTTTATGGAACCATATCTCCACTTGCGCATATCTCATTTGCATATCTTTTTCTTTCTCTGCTAGCTGTATGTGTGACATATGCAAAAAGGGGTACAAATGTATTAAATAGGCTGTGAGGCTTTTTGTAGGTGCCTTTTAGGCATCCGGCAAAAAATGATTTTGAAACTGGAAAGTTCAAGTGCCATAAGTAGTTTATAAATCATCCTAGAGCTTTCATTTATACCTTATTGGATTGCACATATGTCTCAGCTCACTGATCTATGTTTATTTTCTTAGCTCAGTATTTTAATTTGTGTTGCATTGCAAATCATTGCAAATTAAATTTTTAATATTAATAAATCTAATTGGGTTTGTCAAAACAAAGTACATATTTGTAGTCAGATTGTAATGCCAAATAAGCCATGTAAATTTCATTTTATTTGACTCGCAAGTTATATAAAAAAGCTCTTGAAGCATGTGTCACACATGGCAGATGTGTCTCAACATTAGCAAATGCACACACCTTTGCTTTACACATTCTTGCTTCCAGCCCTTAAACTCGTTAACTCTCAATGGCACTACCATTCAGACTGCTACAGAGTAAAAGTATCTTGGCGTTCGTTTAACCACTAATATATCCAGGAATGTTCATGTCGACGAGACAATATCATCCTCAAACCGCTCACTCGGTTATGTTTGTCGCAATTTCAACTATGCCTTTTCTATCCTTAAACATTTCCTTTACGCCACGCTTGTTCGCCCTAAACTAGAGTATGCTTCAGCTATTTGGTACCCACATCAGTCTTTTTTTAACTAACGCAAGTCGAATCTGTCCAGAATCGTGCTGCTCGATTTATTATTTCTAATTAGTCTCGCTTTTCTTGTATCACTGCAATGAAATGTCAATTAGCCCTTCCTGATCTTTCCGTTCGTCGCAGAATTTCCCGTCTTTGCCTTTCCATAAAATGTACTATTCGGAACCATTACGACAGTCTCTCCTGAGCCAGCCCAGCTGTATCTCTGCAAGATTCGATTATTCGTGCAAGATTGTCCTTCCCAAGACCATTTCAACATTCCCTCCTACTAGAAGCTATTGTGGACTGGAATGGCCTTCCAGATGACATTGTCACCATCACCGATAACGCTAAAATCAGAACTGTACTAACCATGCACTCCCCTCTGTAATGCCCTTCGGGGCCCTGAGGGTAATTCTAAGCAACTAAAGAAACAAATAAATAATATTCCGCCACCAGCGTGTGTTCGTGTAATTATAGGGAACTGGCCTCGTTACTGAAGGACCTGTCACGCGGCAACTCTGCCGTCAGTGTAGCTAAAATGCATCATTCGCAAGCGCAGGCAAGGACGCCACCAAGGCGGCTCCAAAGTGGAAAAAGAACCGAGTAAGGGTGGATTTACTCGCCCTACATACGCCTTTGATCAGACTTCTCGACTTCTTTCGTTAATGCAGCCATTCTCTTTTCTTCTGCGCTTTAGGAGCACCTAAAATGCCAGTAACTCAGCTCAGCAACATGACTGCACAGAGCTTACCAAGGTGAAAAGTTGTTTGGCAAAAGTTTCCTATAGTATTGCTTGCAACGCGTCTGAAAACCTCTGGCGTGCTTTTAACTTTACTAATGTGTTGTGTAACAGTTTGTATTTTGTGCATAATGCCCTCCCCTTTTCCTGCAGGCTGTAGAGGGACAAGCAGCAGCAAGTGCACACCAGTCGTCCGCACTGACTTCGCTAGTGCTCCAGCTCGTCGGTGTGCAGAATCTCCATCCGCCAGCCGAATAAAGTGGGTCTCTATGCTCCATTTCATTTTTGGCACGGGTTACACCATCGTTACTTGAACATCTCAGTTGAAAAACTGCCATAGGTGTCCGCTTTGCAGAAATGTTAGGAGCGAGACAGAGTCGCAGTCCTGCCGTTCTTGTTGCAGCGGCCATTTTGTAAACTGTGGCTAGACCGAACAACGTCTGTGCCTCGATGGGCTTCTCAAGCGTGGCGCTGCTCCCCATTCTGGCTCGCTGTGGCTCGCGTGTGGTGTCCGCGTTTCAAGACCAACTTTCCTTAACTGGTATGTTGTAGTAATCTTAGATTACGCCACAAGAGAACTTGACATGCAGAAAGAAGGAATTTTTATCAATGTACACTGCTTTGTAACATCTTCCAACTATTTATATTTGTTTATTCAAAGTGTTCAATAATGGCCGAAGTGTCTCACTTGGTGCACTTGTTAGTAACAGGAATACAAAGGATTTCCAGCAAGGAAGCCTAAGGAAGCCTAAGGAAGCTCGAGCACTTCTTAAAGGACACATGCAAAGGACAAATAAAGTTTTTTTAAACAGCCTGGTTGGGAAAAGGAAGTCATAAAACGAATTTACAACGAAAAATAAAAATTTTAAAAGCTATATTCACGGCGCTATACGAATTTGTAGTTGGTGCCGGCGGGCGCTGCGGAAAAGTGGCTGCTAGTTGTCACGTGACTGGTCGCTATTCGTCACGTGGTGCTTCCGCTCTATCGGAAGCTTCCTATGGTCTCTAAAAGTTAGTTATTCATTTTATTTCAAGTGCAACAAAACACAAAGATTAATAGGTAACTTTTGGAACCCAAAGAAAGCTCCTGAAAAAGTGGAAGCAGACGGTAGAGACCTGTGTGCCGGTCAGATGACGGCGGCAGTGCCGCGGAGTAGACAAACTTGTGCGGCTGTGGCGGTGTGGAGAAATGAGTTGACGGCGGCGCACCACGCTCAGCGTGCAGCGGCGGCGTGACTTTGAGTTGACTTTGAGACGGCGCACAGGTCTACCAAAGACTTGCGGCGGCTCCCACGGGCGCAACTACAATTTCATTTTGTGACGTAAATATAGCTCTAAAATTTTTTTTTTCTTCGTTCTAATTTTATTTTATAACATTCTTTTTCCATCTGGTCTGTTTACAAAAAAATGTTTTTTTACTTTGCACGTGTCCTCAAACCCCCCCCCCCCCCCCCAGTCCCCCCTAAAAAGAAAATGCAATATTTTCAGTGCTTAAATTAACTATGTAATGTTGAGAGCCCTTATTGATTCGATAGAACCCTGGGGTGAAAATGTCCGTCAACTGATTCCAGATGTTTGGAATAGTTACCAACTTGACCTACCGGTGACAGGAAGTTACTATGCGCTGATAAACATTTCGGCTGGGTACGTGTTAGCAAATGCATGAATGCATATTCAGTGGTGGAACTGCCGCTCCATTTGCACCAAACTGTGCCAGAAGGAATAACCTGCTACATGCTGTTCCAAAGGCTGTTCTTGAAAAGGAGACTGAAAGTGGCTGGCACATGGCATTCTTTGCGTTGCCAAGAATGCCATGTTCCAGTACTATGTGCAAAGAGTGGGGCTGAGCGAATATTTTAATTATTGCGGTGGGTTAACTCCTTGAGTGCACTTCTCCTCAAGAATTGATGCACTGCGGAGAATCAATACCTGCGGGGCTGACACCACGATCTTCCGGCTCGCTTTGCCGCAGCTCAGCCGCTCACGGAGGCGAAAAACACACCTGAAAAGTGGTATAACGCATGCGCGCGCCTGGTGTAATAAAAAGAAAAAAAATTGTGATTGTTGATACAGTAAAACCTCGTTATAACAAAATGGGATATAACAAACTAATGGATATAACAAAGCGATCATAATTCCCCTTGCTTACTACTAATGGGAAGAAATAGATATTGGCTATAACAAACTAATGGTTATAACGAAATGATTACGACCGCTCCTTCAACTTTGTTATAACGAGGTTTTACTGTATTTACATCACAGTAAAATCTTCAAAATTTAACTGTGGTTATGCAAGTGTATATGTTAGGCAGCGATGTTTTAGCAACCTGTGTTCATTATTTATCCTTCTTTTGTTTTAATTCAGGTATGAAGAACATATATTCGCATACGGCAAGGATATTTACAAATCCCCTCAATTAGGTGTGGCTGGGCTCTCTTATAGGTTTCATTTTAATTCAAATCTGTCATTTACTTGCCATCCCAATGTAGGTATTAAACTGTCTGAAGCCACTCTATAAATATAAACCAACACGCGGCCCTGATGTAAGGCAGCTGCGGTGGCGCTGTCGACGGCACTGCGCATGCACAGACGCATCACTCCACATGAATTCGGTTTCAGCACACCTGTTGTGGGCAAACGCGGGCTTGTTTGTAAACAGCGTGTCGGTCTATAGCTAGATTAAATTTAACAGAGCTCATAAGCGGGCAATTAGAAGCTTGGGAACAAGCTTTGCGAGTACAGCTGAATTTTTGTTTAAGCATGGTGTAATAGTAGTGAAAAGCGTGGAGAAAGAGGCAGCAACTAATCAATATTCAATTAAAAAATATTCGGCCAAAACCTCTATTTAGTTCGAATTCGCTTCGAACCTAACACCCATTATTTCCACAATCCTAACGAAGAGTTGTTGTTTTTTGTGCAAACGGTGCTCACATCGATCGCAATGAATAGGTAGCGCTACTCATTGTGATCAGTTGAAGGCTTCGCTTAGCTGCTCTATGAACAGCAGTAGATTGAATACGAGCGAGGGCAGCGTGGCACTCAACACAAAAGTGTCTGTTCATTGTCGAACTTGCGACAATTACCTCACCGTGATACAAACCCTACAAAGTAGCCAAACATATTTTTTGCGTCAAACACAAACCGAAGACGCTAATTGTTCAATAAATAAATAAATATCTGTAGTGGCCAGGTCCCTGTAGGTATGGTGCCTTAAATAGTTTTCTAACACCAACAACTACAGTTTTTTCCACAGGCTACCTTCTAAAGAGATTGCATAAAACTTTTTGAGGTGAAAGCTTGTCGATTGTTTGCTCCAAAAGTGGGAATCAGCTCCAAAATGTGTTGTTCCCTGCTACAAGAGCTGCTCCTAATCATCTCTTGTCAGTTCCACCACTGCATATTCAAAAACAGTATGATGACAATGAAAATAGGCTTAGGAGGTCTAATCTGTTATTTTTCGTGTTGCGTCGGTGAGGGAAAAATGTTCTTGTCACGTAGTCACATATTGTTTATTAACAGGTTAGGTTACATGTTGAGACCTCATGGCGGTTGCATGGAACAAGAAGAAAAGGAATGGCGCGGCGTGCGCGGGAAGTCCACCGGAAGACGCTGGCCCCCTGGTGGCGAAATACACATATGCAGCAGTTTCGCTTCTTGGATACTTGCATTGAAGCATATGGGCAATCAGAAGAAGAAGTTGTCGAGTTCTGTGCGCATATGTTAGGTGTACAGCTTGGCCCCTCTAATCTGGAGAAATCGCACCAACTAGGGAAATTCCAGCCCGAGAAAACTAGGCCGATCATCGTTAAGTTTGCCCATTTCTAAGACGGAGAAAGCATTTTGGCCTCCGGTTTCAAATTGAAAGACGCCCCTTATTCCCTATGCAAGGATTCTTCTGCGTTTGTATGACTTGCTCGTAGCAAACCTTTTGAGTACAGAAAAAGTATGAATGTACAATTTAAGGTTCGTTTCAACAAACTTAATGTTGGCTACAAACGTTTCGTCATTGACCCGGTGTCTCAAACTGTAGTTGACGTGTCATAGCTACATGCTTGTAATAAAAATAAACTATTGCCTCCATGCCCTCAAGCTACTGCTGTGTGCGATAAAAATCAAAGTATTTCTGTCCTCTTCACTAACATTCGCAGCTTTCATGCCAAAACGTAAGGAGTTTTAGAGCGTATTACAGGACAGTTCGTCAGTCATAGTCATCCTAACAGAAACTTGGTTGAAACCTGATCTTGAAGATGATGAGCTTTTTTTTGAGAATTCATGTTGTAATGTTTTTCGGCATGGGTGGTGGTGTGCTCATTGCACACCACCACCCCTGTCTCTTCTTTTTATATATTCTATATTTTCTCTTCTATATCTTCTTTTGATATCTGTTTAGCAAATCATGACTTAGAATTTACTTGCATATGTGCTTGTACGCCACCGAATAAGGTTATAATAGGCGTGTGTTATAGGCCACAAAAAGGTACATTAACATTCCATACTGATCTTTCCTAGCTGATATATAAGGTTGTTTTCCTAGGGCTGATGTGCAATTATTTGGCACTTCCAATTTTTTTCTAATGAACTGGCAGAATCTATCAACCGAAGGCTCAACCCTTTCTGTGCAGTTTCTAGACATATGTCTTATATTTAACCTCACGCAGCTAGTTGATCGACCGACTCGTTCGAGAAACATCCTTGACCTAATACTACGGGGGTGGAACGGCTGCGCCATTTGTGCCATTTTGCGCCAGACGCATTTGTCTGTGCCATTCTGCACCATGTTGCGGAAACTGTGCCACAGCCAATACCTTGCGCCATTATGCACCAAATCACAACGTGCGCCAATTTTTAAAAATTTTATCTTGGTTTCGGTTTTTATCGACTCGATTGGCAGCAAGGAGCGCATTTAGCTTAATCGGCCTTGCAATCTTTTGTTCTTTTTATTCTCCATATGTATCCCCAGTCGGAAGCGCGCAAAAAAAACTTGGAATCGGATTCCAAGTGCTGCACCACCTGCAACTGGATTGTTATTCTTCAACCATAAGCCGTTAAGCAAGTCGGCCGAGGTGAGGTTGAGTCGTTAAGCGTCGCATTGCCTGGAGCTCTGCGGCCCGGGATCCGGACGTCGGCCAGTTGAAAACAAACGAGCAAAAGATTCGTTTTAGTACTTCATCGTTAGAAGTTGGAACCGCATTCCCGCTAGATAAATCGTGATTTGATAGAACTGAAACCTGGTTCGATCCGAAACCTTGCCGGCCAGCAGCTTTCACGCGATCGGTAGATCTGTTTTTATTTATTTATTTATTACAATACCCTCAGGGCCAAAAGGCATTACAGAGGGGGTGGGGCAACCAAAAAATGAAAAAAAAAAGAAAAAAAAAGGGTACAAAAAGAGAGCAAACACAGCCGAGAATAAACATCAACAGCTCGAAACACAGCACTCTGGTCAAAAAATAAACAAAAGGACAATCACGACAAAAGGTGAGCAGATAAGGTTTTTTTAAATAAATCAATTGAAGGTATATTAAAGGGACAGTGCAACGGTTTTAATGTTGAAAGAATTGCCAGTTTGCATTTTTTATATTGTTCATACAAGCCCAAGTGACCAAAAACGCGCCACCTTTCCCCAAAAAACGGCTATTCTGCTGCGTAATGGCAAGGCAAAAAACGAAATATTTGCCGATCTGCAGCCGCCGGTGGCGGCTACGGGAACTAAAATGACGGCGTCTCTGGGGGATACGCGGAAGTCAACAAACCCTGTCCCCCTCCGCTGCTACACTCGCCGTCAGCCCCATAGAGAACCGTCCTTTGTGTCCATCGCTCGCCGCGACCTTCGACGAGGCTAATCCTTTGAAAGTCCACAATCGCGGAGGAAGCGGCTGGGGTCTCTGAAGAGAGGGCCCAAGGGGAAACCACGTGAACCCCCAGAGACGTCACTCGAAAGTCGGCGTGGAGAGTTGAGAGGCACTTCGACCTTCGATTTGTTTCATTTTTTTAAATAAGAACTAGCGCTCGCAAGAAAATGCGGCTTTCGGTTTTTCGTTCCATAGGTGACGCAGATTAACTTCCGCACTTAACTGGCCAAAGTCTGAAAATCGTTGCACTGCCCCTTTAACAAACGAAGCGGGAAGATGGTTCCACTCAAGAGATGTTTTTGGAATAAACGCGTTCAAAAAGGCTGATGTGTCACAATGAGGGACACCAACTTTGAAAGGATGATCAAAACGCGGAGAAATGAATGGGGGCTCAAGGAATAGTTTATCTTTCAATGACGTGTTAGAATGATAGATCTTGTAAAAGAGGCACAAGCGCGATATTTTGCGACGTAAAGAGAGGGAGGGTAGGGATAGACTGAGTTTCATGGAGGAAACGCTTGCTGTACGATGATAGTTAGAAAGTATGAAACGAACTCCGCGATTTTGCATGGCTTCCAGGTTAGTTATAAGTGTCGAGTGACCGGGATCCCAGATTGCAGCAGCGTATTCTAATTTTGACCGGACCAGGGAGTTATAAAGCAGTAATTTTAAAGAAACGGGGGCCAGTGTAAAATTTCTTTTTAGAAAACCGAGCATAGAGTTAGCGTTAGCAATAATGTGGTCAATGTGGGTTTTCCATGACATGTTATAGGTAATATGGACACCCAGGTATTTGTAACAGGTCACAGACTGAAGTTGAGTGTTACAAATTGAGAGAGGTGGAAGAACCGTGTGATGACGAGAAACTCTCATAGACTTGCACTTGTTAATGTTAAGGGACATCTGCCACAATTCACACCATTGGGATACAGCACACAAATCATTTTGGAGGAGGAGTGAATCGGATTCATTAGTAACTTCACGATATATCACACAGTCGTCGGCAAATAAGCTAATAGAAGAGGATACACACGTAGGTAAGTCGTTAATGTAAATACTTTAACCTTGCACATGCTTATCACTTCGAATACGATAACTTCGTTAATAGTAGTCTGCTGCTTTGATATTCAGTTGCACAATAGGATAAACTCGAAATTTGGTGCCCTGTTCCTCCGCGCAACTCCACATCCGTTGCTTACGCACGTCACGTGGTTCACATATATAATTGCTATGTCGAGCATGTGTGGGTTGTGTGATAAGCAGAGCTGGTTTGCATTTTGAGCAGCTGAAAGCCACTAAGAAAATAATCAGACTTGTACCCGTCACTGAAAAAAGTAACCGATTACAGTTACAAGCACTTCGCTGTAAAACGTACCTGACTACAATTACAATTACAGCCTCAAACAAGTAATCGAAAAATTACTCTAAAGTAAGCAATTACTTCCCACGTTACTTTTCATTCAAATTTTTTTTACGGTAGCATAATCCGTGGAATGTCGCGCTCAGTTGCTTAGTCATCCCAGTCTTCAAGCAGGGAAGTTGCTCATCTGTCTCCAATTATCGTCCAATATTCTTAACTTCCATTCCCGTTCAAATCTGTTGAGCATATACTCTAGTCTCTTATCATGACTCACCTAACTACAAATAGATTTTTCTGTAAACAGCTCCATGGACTTAAAAAGGGAGTCTCCTGTGATACGCACCTCTGTGACTTCATTCATGACTTGCACACTAACCTTGAGTGTCGGCTAAAATGCCATTTTCTTGGATTTTTCTAAAGCTTTCGATTGTGTTCCTCATCATCGACTGCTCTCTAAACTTGCATCCCTTCTTCTTGACCCCTTGGTTTTTCTATCGATATGTGACTTTCTTTCCGCGTTTAGTATGTGGTGAATGATGATCATGAATCTTTTTTTAAATAATCATGATCATTCATTAATTAACCACTTTTTTAAATAACCATAAACCCCCTACCTTCCGCCATTTGCTCTAATATACATCTCTTTGCGGATGACTGCATTGTCTATAACAAGATAACATGTGTGCATGATAACATTAAACTTCAGGAGGACTTGACAGAAATGAACAAATGGTGCAAAGAATGGCTCATGCCGTTATGTATACCTAATTGTAAGCTAATCCAGTTCACTGGGAAAAAATCCTATCCTACCAGTACTACCTAGATTCTGATTTGATAGGTGCCGTTCCGTCGTATAAATATCTGGGCGTCAGATTAACATCAGACCTTTCCTGGAATAACCACATCGAAGCCATTTCTGCCGATAGGTTCAGTGATAGGTCCCTAACCTTTGGACTTCTCTGACGAAACCTTAGATTTGTACCATCACCTGTTTGCAGCCTGGCATATGGCAAATTCATTGGACCAAAATCGAATATCCCACCTTTATCTGGAACCCTCATCAAGTCTACCTCATCGATCATCTAGAAGCGGTTTAAAACAGGACTATTCGGTTCATTCTATCCACCTACAACCTTTCTGTCAGTGTTTCCGCCTTATAAAGTCAAGTAACCCTTTCCCCCTATAACTTCGTGGAAAGTCTCGCAGCTCTGCCTTCTTCATAAAATCTATTCTCGTTGTCCCGGCCTCAAGACAACCTCATTATCATCTCCCGACCGAACATTGTCTCGCCTTAACAATGCCTGTACCATCAAACGCATTTCTGGCTCAACGAACGCCTTCAACCGATCATTCCTTCCACAAGCCATCATAGACTAACAGCCTGTCTTTATTTGAGTGTATAATGTGAATGACTCCCGCCCTCCCTTATGTAGTTCCTAAATGGGCCCTTAAGGTGTCATAAATGCAATGAAACCATGAAGTTGGTGTAGTAGGTGTTACTGCATTGAAACATAAATCCGGGTTTGTGGGAAACCATCTTATTGCAAAGTCAGTAATGTATAATGATCTAGGTGCTTCATCATATGCTTACAAGCTATGTGAATGACATCTAAAACAATAATAGCAAGCCTTTTTTGTACATGTGCCACATTTCTGAAAGCAGTAATACAAAGGTTGTTCCACATCCCCAAAAAAACCCCTTGCTTTGGAAGAACTATACTCTGATAAAGACGGGCAGAAAAGTTCTTGCTACATTATGCATTTGCACTGAGGTCTAAAACATGAACTCCCAACATACAACACGCGAGAGTTAAAGAAATAATAAGTTGGGAGTCAAGCATAACTTAGGCACATTGCACGATTAAAG